AGCTCAATATATTTTGGAAACTTCCAGCTTCTAGTAGCCTCACTCATGGCTAGAAATTTCATACACAGTGGAGTTAATCAAAGCATGCGCATTGGGTACTTAGAAATTAATCCAAAATGGCGTCTTTAGTATAAGATTTAAGCGGAAAATACACAAAATAATTAAGAACACTTTAAAACTTTTTCGAAGCGTCTGTGGTTGAATTTTACCTTAAATTGAAGTTTATATTACGTATAATAACACACCTAACATATATATGTTGGAAAATTAATAATTTTGTATTTAAAAGTGATATTTTTAGGCGATTTTCATTTGTAAGAATATTCTTAAAAATTATATATCGTGTTACCATGACAACTACTTTAGATACTTCATATTCGGATAATACAATGGTTTTGTCCGCAAGGCGAGGGTTTCTGCATGCATATATATTTTCTAGTTTAGTATAATCGCACACGCTTACAGACTACGTAAACATTCGACGCAAACATGTCACTTATTCTGGGTGCAAAGAGGATCGAAGACTATGTTTTGGACTATGAATTTGCCGTCTGATTACTCTGAATTCTGAAAGCGACAAGCCGGCAGAAAGCGACACGCCGGCTAAAGGCAGAGACTAAAGGTATGTTGTGTGCTTTATTTTAGTACGTTTTGCTGTTTATATGCATCGCTCCATATTTGCATTTCGCTACAAGTTTAGCTTTCGTTTTATTGCCCCGGCTATTTGGAAACGAAAGCATTAGCGAAGTCTAAAGTTCCTCAATTATCGCGGGCGCTCGCCAACGGTGTTGAGAGGGTGGTCATCACTGATCTCAAAATATGGCTGTTTGCCAGGAGTGAAGAAGGCAAAAAATATAAAAAATACATGTAAGAAAGCTTGGAAAATCGTTTCACATAACAAACTGTACAATTTTTTTGCAATTTTTAAATGTAAACATTGATAAGAATTGATATTGTATGATAAATCCTAAAGTATAGGGCAAGTTTGTTTCAATTGTTTATGTATGACTTTGTATTTAATAATATAGACGTTGTTCTTGATGTTTTACGAGTCTTTCCTATGCATTGTTTGCGAAAGTTTCTTGGTTAAATTAACTTTTGTTGAAGTTCATGATAAAAAGGAAAGCAAATTATTTTCATTAGCGTCCTGTACGAATTAAATTTGTTTCATTTCAATGTGCGAGTAATAAGTTGAAACTCGAGTTGAGAAGTTTATAAATAACGGCAAAAAGCAGTTAATTTTAATTCACATTTAAAAACTTTTACGTAGAGTTTCGTTTTGAATTTTACATAAAAAAAACATAAAAACGAAAATATCATACCTACTTTATATATTTTAGAAATAGATAGTTTTGTATTTAAAAGTGTTGAAATTTCATCTATTTTTTCCCGGTCTGTTCAAAAAATTAAAAAACAATTTCGTGTTGCCATGGCTAACATGATGTGGCAACGCGAGCCTGGGTTCAGTGTTGGCGTAATTGCGAATACTTCATGGTGAAACAATGTTTGGAAATATAGGCGAGGGGTTGTTGCATGCATGTATTTCTAGTTAAATTAAAATATAGCATTACGATGTTCGATGTGTCAGCTCACAGCTTCATTGTTTGGCTGGCTTTAATATGAATATAGGCCTATTAAACAAATTTTATGCAAGGAAAACCTGACAGAATTCTTTCATATAAACCCACTGTAGTATTAAAAATTTTGCGGTTTTATGCTGGCGCTTTAAAACCGCTCATCAGCGGTTGGTTGTATTTAGAACTCCTATCCAGACAAGATCTCTGAAAAAACAATTCCAAATTTATAGACAAGCTGTCAGGAGGTTTTCTGTTAATTTTAGCTTATGTATAAAAAGGTAAATAAATAAACCTCTGGTTAAGCTAACCAAACTTTTAAAAACCGTCTCCAAAGAGCTGGTTGTTTGGGTTATTTATAACCCAGTTTTGAACAACTGGCCCCAGATAGCTAAAATTAAAATGCCACCGACTCAATCACTGTGGACCAATTCATCAGATCGGACGAAGCCACATATCAAAGGTTTAAGCCGGCTAATGTTATTAAAACTAAAAATCTAATATTTTCCTTACACCATAATTGTGCAATTTTGCCAGGTGATTTGAACTGTCAAATGAAACATATTTATACATAATGCCAGTCGTCCACAAGGAGCCTGTTGTTTGGGTTATTGCATACTAACCCTGGATTAATGCTAACCCAGCTTTCAACAAGTGGCCCCAGATAGCTAAAATTTAAATGCCACAGACTCAATCACTGTGGACAAATTCATCAGACCGGGTGAAATCACATGTCAATGGTTTAAGCCGGCTAATTATTAATGAGTATATGTTATTAAAATTAACTAAAAATCTAATATTTTCCTTACACCATAATTGTGCAATTTTGGTGATTTGAACTATCAAATGAAACATATTTATACCTGTACACGATTTCAGTCGTTCCAATGTTAAGGTGAATGAGAACTGCAGGGCTGGGTGCCAAACTCTTAGTTTGCTCATGCCTTGCCTAACTTAGAAACTATGTATATATTGTTTATCATGTTTATCTGACATCAAAGTAAAAAACATCGACTGACACAAGTTTTCCTTGTTCGTTCAATCTTCAATGTGTGGTTAAGTTGTGTATATGTCTGCCTACTGTGCTAGATTACATATTGAATCACATTTGAATACAGTTTCCAAAATTGAATACCTTTAACTGCCTCTTAATATTTGCATGATGTGCTGTCTACTCACAAGCTAAACCTTCCCTTTTCTGTTCCCAAGGAAATGATCAGCAAGGAAAAAGACAGTGATATTACGTATGACTTACATTAGGACAAGAGCCAGTAAAGGTGTATGAAGAACTCTTAGATGTTTGAAGGCAGACAAGTCACAACATGTGATCAAAATGCATGTAGTGCTCTTGGGGAGTGGCTTGTCTGTTGAAAGGCATAACATGTATTATACTGAAAAATCTGCGGTAAAGGTGAGGTTGGTTTTACAGAGAGTCAGAGACTAAAATTATAAATCACCCAAACTCAGTAAATACAGTAACAAACAAAATGTAATAAACTGCTACCTTAATTAATAAATGGCAGCATTTTCCAGACAAACACATTTTTTTCCGACATAAATAATATATGAAGTCATATTGAATTAAACAATGTATATTGGGAAAACATAAACTGACTCCAATATTTCATCTATGGACACTTTCCATTCAATGTCCTGACCGGTCAGACCTGAATACTTTTCTCAGTATCAAAGGAAAGATCTGGTATATGTTTCTCAAATGTCTAGCGAAAATGGACCTCATTCCAATGTTATCAAAATTTTCCGGTTAGATAGGTCCGAAGCCCAAATGTTTTGTGTTTCATTCAACAATTTGACCGTTCTGACCGGTTTGGCCACGTTAATGTAAAATAGGCCGTCGGCTGTTGTGCGAAAAAGTGCCCAAAAAAAGCAATTTCATGGCACCATCAGGGAAATAGATTTTCTGTGGTTCAATTCATAGATCATAGATGCTTAATTACCACAAAGTTCCGAAGCAAAAAACTTTCCCAACACCGAGAAAATGGGTGATCAGTGATTATCCTCTATTAATTGGTATTACAGCAATAAAATGTGAAATTTTGTATTCAATTACAACAAAAATGACATGCATCATCAGAAAGCTTACAAAAACCTACATATAAGACATTTAAAGAGTTTTTTTATATCTAAAATTGTTTTCGAGTTATACGCTGTCAAAAACGCATTTTTGACCTAGTACCCACCCAGCTAACACAATTACGTTTTAAAAACGTCGTGGAAACGTTGGACTTACGTTATATGAACGTTCTGGGACAACGTTGTGACAACGAAAATTTGTAGACAGCAGAAAACGTTATCGCAACGTTGTAGCTAACGTAGCGAGAACGTAACTTGAACGTTGTCAAAACGTTTCTAACACGTTATAAGGACGTCCAATTTTAACTTTGTGAAAATGTGGTAAAAACGTTGTGGGAACGTTATGACTTAACGAAAGCATCAAGGTACGTTTACACACATGATTTGTCGGCCGATTCAGCTTTAACTATATGATATTTGAAAAAAATGGCAGCATTCGTTAAAACCTTAAATTGGCCAGATTATAATCCCTGTGTGTACACGTAGCTTAACACAGCTTAATTGCACCAGAACCATTGCGTACTTTAATATTCTTTCGCGAATTTTCTGACTACGTCGGCAAATTCGAGAAAGGAAATTAAAACGGGAAATGATTGTTGTGTAATAAACGCGGTTGTTAAGAATATTAAAATAAAGTAAACATAAATTTTTCTAAATATTTATTGACACAAAATGTTAAATGACTTCACATTAACTATTTACATAAACTTTAAGAACTATTAATAAATACATTAGTATATAAGGAAAGAATATGCACAACATTAAAAATTACTTGATCTACCAAATGATCTATCAAATATCATCCTTTTATACAATCCCGGCAACGTTCTATAACATTCGAAAAAAAATTATATTCGATTAATTATGAAATGGGTTTAGCCAATACTGCATTCTGATTGGTTAGCTATACTGGCTATATATCAACATCTAGCTGTAACATTGTGATTTTATGAACTGAAAACTTGATTAGTGATACAGTCCATTAGAAAAAAACTGGAATTGGCTGGGGAAAATGGTATAAAAACTGTTTAAGACCTTCAGAAAATATATAATTTATGTACAGCTCATTCAAAAATAGGTTTTCCTTTGAAAACCTTCAACTCAAAATCTTAAAACTTAAGCAGTATGGCGAAAGCGTCGTTTTTGGGTGTGGTCAGTTTCGGACGTTTCGCCCCGGATTGGGGTTCGGGCAACGTTACCATGCTGACCGTCATGGTCAACTTGCCCAAAACATTTGAGATTATCTGTCCTAAATGAAATGCATACAAACTCATATACAGGTCCTAGACTACTTTAACAAATGCTTTTGCAGGTGCATCACAGACAACACACCTGAGAGAAACTTTAAGAACCTTTGAACCGCAACTTAAGCCTTGCTTTAACACTATATTCAGATCTCTCACAGTGTCATGAAGAAAATCTAAATTCTTAGGTTTTGACTTCCCATATGTTAAAGCAATTGGGAATATTCTAACTGGGGTAAGGTTCATAATACCACAGAGAACTGGCCATAAACTACTTTGTGAACTTTTGAACAAAGGAATCAAACCTATCTCTAAAGTATCAACACTGTCTGGATAAGACTGGAAATTCTCCAAGAGTGCCTTTTCCAATGGGAAGTAAACATACTCCATCTCAGACTTATGGCCAATAGAAACAAGCCTTGGTGTAGCCAATAAAGCCCTGGCAGTGCTTGGCAATTCAGAATGGCCAGACTGTTTAAGTAATTTAAGGAGCGCATCAACTGCATTGTGTTTTACTTGAAAGTTATTCACCCAAGTTACTAACTTATCTTTCAAACTGTAATTTTCTAATTGATCAGAATCGTCAGACAAACAAGAATTATCACTGATGCTGTCAGTGCCTGAAACACTGTGGTGAGCAGGTGCGTTTGTGCAAATTTCATCTATGTCAATTGTTTCTTCAATTAATATCACTGTTTCAATAATCAATTTTACAGAAAAACCTTCTTATGAAGTGTAGACCCTAAGCAACCTAAAAATGTCAAATATTCACTTTGATCTATCATTGAAACTTTTGCAAGGGGAGGTGCATGACTTTTTAGGGGAAGTGCAAAAATTCCCAGGGAAGGCGCAAAACAATATCAGGGGAGGTGCGCCCCGCAAAATCCGGCCTTGGTTTGTCTCACATTATGACATCACCCTGTGTATCTATAACTGAACAGACAATGACAAAATCTTAATCTATTTGTTAATTAAACATATATAATTATATAGAGAAATTCAATCTAACCCAACTTACACTAAACTCTTTAATAAGCATTACAAGTTGCAAACCTACAATTTACCATTTACAATCGAGGCCATATTTCAACTTAATAGGTGGAGAATTTGAAATAAAGTAGAATAAATTACATTTGCATATTTAAGCAGTAGTGCACCTTCCTTTGTTACTTGACTCTTCCTGACACAAAACTTTTTTTACTCTGATCGACACAAAAGACTCATTGCTTTGGGCAATTTGTTATTTGATGCTTGTGATGTTACTCTGAGTGTGTATCCACATCGGGCAAACTTGAAAAATATGCCTGGCCACAGTGGGAATCGAACCACTACAACATTTGGAATACTACCCAATGCTCTGCCAATTGAGCTATGTGATATTTCGGAACAGAATCTAGTTCCTTTGATATCAATGTAGTCTAGTAATCATAATTTTT